ACCCTGATCAAAGATAGGAAGTAGTGGAGTAAATATTTTGTTACTGTACTTAAGTACATTTTTCTGGTATCAGTACTTTACTCCACTACTTATTTTTCTGACGACTTTTTACTTTTACTTCTTACATTTTGAACACAAATACCTGTACTTTCTACTTCTTACATTTTGAACACAAATACCTGTACTTTCTACTTCTTACATGTTGAACACAAATACCTGTACTTTCTACTTCTTACATGTTGAACTCAAATACCTGTACTTTCTACTTCTTACATGTTGAACACAAATACCTGTACTTTCTACTTCTTACATGTTGAACCCAAATACCTGTACTTTCTACTTTTCTCATTTTCCAAACAGGCTGGTTCCTTTAGTCTGAATGTGTGTTTGGTGGCGTGATCATTATTATTTAGAGTCATTGCGTGCCTATTGATTTGAACACGATCCGTGTATCCATCATTTCCTGGTCTTCTCTAAAGAAGAGGGACCAATGGAAACGTTGTCATGTTGCCGTTGTTCACCATGGAAACATTCATTAGCTAACAATGACATTATTGTTCTATTAATATAAAGGGAGGTCAGGTACTCTTTAAAAACAGCTGCTAGTTATGGGTACTTTTTACTGAAGTACATTTCAAAGCCTCTTTACTTTGACTTGAGTAAAGAAGTTTAGTCAGTACTTCTACTTTCACCAGAGTATTTTTAAACACGAGTATCTGTACTTCTACTTGAGTAAAGGATGTGGGTACTTTTGCCATCTCTGTCCATATTGACACTCACTGTTTACTGAGAGTTATTTCCCCTTAAAATGGACAAAAGCAGTCAGTCAGGGAAAGACACTGACTTTATACGCCTTCACAGCATACCTCTTTCCACCATAGATTTATTTGTGCTGTTCGTCTGTAAACTAAGACGAGGGTCAGTTTCTGACCTCTGATGGTGGTCCGGATCTCCGTCTGTCTGCTTTGTTCCTGGGTGGTCTTACATGGTGCATAAAGCTTAAAGAGATATTAAGAAGACTCAAAAGATGGTATTAATGTTATGAAACCTGATCTTTAGCATGGCATATGTCACTGATAAAGATTAAATGAGCAGCATGTGAATTAATCTCCGTCCTCGGACTTATAATTGAGAAGTCATGTGGAATTAATGTGATATATGAACGTACGCCAGCATCAGTAATGGCTCCAGCATTTCATCTCTATCAGTTGTGACATGCTGAGACAGGGGAGATACACAGTGTCTCTCCGTGACATCTGTGGCAGTAATTTAAGTTTTCATCTTCAACCGGTTCCAGGACTCCTCGTGCCTTCACATGAAATCAAAGACCGGAGGAAAATATTCACGGTATAAACGGAGTGATGTGTGGAACACGAACAGATGGCAATCACAACCCAAGACAAGAAGGGAAAATGGAAAATGATATGTGAACGTTTTGATATGCAATGAAATACGTTTTCCTCTTCTAACGGGAAATAGTGTTTATAGAGATGTTGAGATTATGTCAAGGCACACATCCTTTTCCAATGAGCACACAAGGGGATGAAGTGGGCCTAAAGTGAGCTACAGATACACCAAATGTACTTTAATATCCAAATGTGTTCCTCCTCAACATGATTAGTCCAAGTAATAACAAATTGGTTAGTATTAGCATAAATAAACCCATTGAAAGACACTTTATCACTCATTAAGGCCCTATTTGATGATTAATTTAATACATTTTGAAGACTTTTTATGCATAAATCCTCTTCGTCATGTTCACAAAATGAAATGTGAAAGTTTTGATATGCAATGTAATACGTTTTCCTCTTCTGACGGGAAATAGTGTTTATAGAGATGTTGAGATTATATCAAGGCACACATCCTTTTCCAATGAGCACTCAATGGGCTGAAAACATGGGATAAAGTGAGCTCCAAAATATACTTTAATAACCTAATTTGTTCCTCCTCTGCAGGTGAACAACATTATTGATCCTCTCAATAACAAATTGGTTAGTATAAGCATAAACAACCCCATTAAAGTCATTTTTAACACCAATTAAGGCCTTATTATAGGGCTGTCAAGTTAACGCTTTAATAACGCGTTAAAGCAAAAAAAAATTAACGCCACTAATTATTTTAACGCGATTAACGCTTTTTTTTTTTCCTCGGCCGCCACGTAGTTTCAGACTGCATCGAGTTTAAAATACCATCTACAAGCTGATGCTGACAGCCCCGCTCCTGCCGCCCGCTTGTAGCAGACCCTCTATGGGACCACACTTCCACGCTCACCGGCAGGCACCGACTGGCCATCGGGAGGACCGGGAGGGTGTGTGTATGTGTGGCGCGAGAGAGAGACCTTACGTGTATTGTTGTTGTTGTTTTTAGCATCTGGTGCTAGCTAGCTGCGCTAACGGATATAAGGAGCTGTTTCAATGAAAACAGAGGAGTGACATTTCGCCGACAACTGCGCCAAGCACTTCACTTTATGCAGGTAGCCAGACAGTGGGAAATTGTACGAACAGTCAGCACACTCAGCACGGATAGTGCGCGCAACATGATTGCAGCGTCCAGGCAGCTCCCGTTCGAGCATTATGCCTTGAGTTACACATAGCTCCAACGATCCATCACACACACACACACACACACACACACACACACACACACACACACACACACACACACACACACACACACACACACACACACACACACACACACACACCATTTGTATTGTATTATTGTATGAGAGAGGTTCCAGGTTGAATTGAGGCGAATATTTGTAATGTTCAGAGGTTGTTGTGTTTAATATTCATGAGAATATTTGTCATTGTTCAAATGATAATAAACATTTGCATAAATCATATTTGTCCACTCATATGTTGATAAGAGTATTAAAAACTTGAAGAATATTCCTCTAAGGTAGGCCTACATTTAGAACAGACCAAAAATGTGTGATTAATTTGCGATTAATCGCGATTAAATATTTTAATCGACTGACAGCCCTAATTAATACATTTTGAAGACTTTTTATGCCTTAATTTCGTCGTTAACACACAAATCCTCTATTTTGATTGACCTTTCTCTCATGACACTTTGATAAACTCACTTACTTTGAGCCTCTGTTCCCATTTAGGTAGTTATATTTCATACTTGATGTCTTCTCGTCTTATTTTTATTGACCTGTCCATCACAAAATAAAACTACAGTAAAAGAAAGTACAGAAATAATCAAGACGTGTGCACCAAATCATTTTAATATAACAGCATTCAGTCTGTTGTGTGTAACAGTGCAATAGCATGCTAAAGAGCAAACAAAAATAAATGTAATATCCGTACTCTGGAGTTATATTTGGACAGTTTTTATCGTACAGTACAATGTTTATGAAATATCTGTGAAAAAAGTATACAATCTTTTTTCAGTATGAAGTATAAAAATAATTGTCTCTGTACACATATTGAAAAGGTCCAGCGGTTTGCATAATAGTTTGGATCAGAGCCTCTGGAGTTCGTCACTATAGACCTGTGGAGAGAGAGGGAATATAAAGTGTTAGAAACTTAAATATGAGACGTTTAATAAGGAGGGAAAGCACTCGGGAACAGACGTGAAATATTTGAAGTCAGAGACAAACATGATCTACTCTTTACTCTCTTTCAACCCCAAAGTTTTATGTCAGAAATGTTGTGTGAAAAAACTAAAGAAATGTAAAAAAAAAAGAGTACTGTCTCAATATTCACACCAATGACATTGTTTTCTCTTGACTCTGAAATGTACGTCCAACGTATTAAGCAAGGAAATCACTTCAAAATGAACTCAAAATGTGTCGAAATTGGCCCAATGAGAGTTAAAACGGGCACTTTGGTCCACTTCTGAAATGGGTTCAGCATCCTCAATAACCCCAACCCCTTGAATATATCTTCCAAACTGGTCAAGCAGCTGGTGAAATATTGTCCATATAGGCTAATAAACGCATATATGCAAGTTAGCATCCAGCTGTTTTACATTTTTTTACTCCACTATATTTATCAGACAGCTTTTTGCAGATTCAGATTATAAGCTTATACTAAACATAAATCAACTAATAAATACACTTTGGCAACATAATTAACATAGCCAGCAGCAGTTTATAAAGTACTTGTTATTTTCAATGTGTTTTTAGGATCATTTATTAACATGCACTGTCCCTGTTGTTAAGACTTTGAGTTGGATAACGAGGCTTATGATTCTAAAACGGGCCGTTATGATATTTTTGTATCTCAGCTCATTTACTAATACTTTTGTACTTTTACTTAAGGAAGAAGGAATCTAAATGCAGTATCTTTACAATTAAGCATAGCTACTTTTACTTAAATACTGGATAGCGAGGCAGGGTGCAGACTCAGTATTCCTCAGTGAGTTTTGGGAGGTTGAAGCTGTATATATAAAATATTATATATACAGTCTATGATATTGGCCCATTTAGAGTTGAAATACTTCTGGTTAGAACATATTATATTCTGGAGAGGTTAGAAATGGATTTAGCATCCTCAATACCTGCAATAACTCAGCAAAGCATTCATTGAAATATTGTCCATAGGCTAAAGTGCTTATATATGCTAAAAAACAACTATCATTTCTAAATGCTTGGGACCCATACTATACATTTCTAATGTCCAACGCTGGTGTACTCATCATCGTTATAAATCCAGCTAATATATATATGATTCTAAAATGGGCCGTTATGAGTACTTTTGTACCTCAGCCAATTTGCTAATACTTATGAAATTTTACTTAAGTACTTCTTAGCATACGTGTGCTTTTGTTTTGAAATCACTTCCGAGAGTTTCGCCCCGCCCCTCGCTCCAAGGACCATTTAGTAAGGCAAAAAGTAAAAACGCCTCTCAGACGATCTTCCGTTAATTGTTTAATAAAGACAAATAAATGGTCCGAAGATACACATTATGAGTACTTTTACTTGGGGTACCTCAGCCATTTTGGTAATACTTATGTATACTTTGACTTAAGAATGAACTTAAATGCAGTATTTTTACAATCAAGCATAGCTACTTTCACTTCTTCCCCCTCTTCTCCACATGCCTGCTAACAGACTCTGATCTGGGTGCAGACTCAGTAATCCTCAGTGAGTTTTGGTTGAATCTGTGAGGTTTTCTTTGAGCTCTGAGTGTGTTTGTGCCTCAGAAGAGCCTCCAGACGGGCTCTCTGACGCTGCTCCGCCACAAGAGAACAACCGCAGACAGACCTCACTTCTCACCAGACAGACTTTCTCCCAACACCACATGTTGGGAGGAAACTCACAGTGACTTCATGGAGCCTCGTGGTGTCATTGAACGCACCATAAATGAAGGTGGAGGCAGCCGGTTATTACAGTTAGCGTGTCGTGGCTCTACAGATGAGCTCACCGGGACTACCAAGCGTGACTTGGTCCGCTATACGCGTATAAACTATAAGCAATAATCCTGATCTAATAACAGAGGTTTGTTCTTGAATCAACTTTTTTAATGAAAATCTTTATTGTCATTTCCCTTTTCCAGGAATCTCAATAGAAAACAATTAGATATTCATTATTAATGCCATAATGCTTATTTCTCCAATGAGATATCTGCCAATCAGAAGTTAAATCCATTTCTCACTTATTCTAAGAATGTACTTAACCCACTAAAAGGATTTCTATTCAAATAATCCAGAAATTACGTAAAAACAATAACTCATCCCTCTCGTTCAGATTAATGTGCTCAGGTTTTCTTTCAGGTAGAAAGGTTTAGGTGCAAATCGTGTAGAAACTCTCACTCTCAGACTCTGGAGAATTGATGATTTGCTCACCTGAAAACAATGACCTCTTTTTGGCATCTCGAGCACCACCTGTGGAGAAACACAGACAGGAAGTGGGTCAATCATTTTAAAGGGTTCCTTAAGTCTTTTCTCAACCTATTTAAGTGTCTAAATGACTAATGGGGACAATTAGAAGTATTTGCTTAATTAGCTGCAGACCCTAAACTTGTTGCTATGTACTGTAGCATGTGTGTTGTTGTTATTGTTTAGAGCCTATATGTTGCATGTTTTAATGATTTAATTATCCTGATATGTTTATAATTAGTTTAAAACGTGTCGAGGGACTACAGATTAAAAAAGCCTCTCTGCTAACTTTGGCATATATACAGCTACGTTTATTAAAGGGTTCTTCCCCTGTCAAATAAAGAAATACAACTATCTTTAAAAATACAACTATCTTTAAAAATACTTAAACGCATTTTTAAAAGTTATCAACAATTAAAGGAATGGAATAAAAAGATAGAGAAATGATCATTTCCGAAAAGGTTGACGCGAGCACACACTATACTATAAATGTCGACAAACAGTTCCTCCTTCACATCTTGATAGAGACTTATAGAACCTAGACTGACCATACCCAGGTCTATACAACGAGACATGGCTGAATTCGAAGTATATTGGTGACGACGTCGTTTCCTAGACACTCATTACTACTTGCTAAAGTTTTAATTAAATACAAACATTTAAGTCCTTTACAAGGTTTACTGAGTGATTGTAGAGAGCGAACAAGTTTACTTCTCGTACCCCTTATGTCGAGAGTCAACTCAGTCCTTTGTGCCAATCAAGTTGCTTCTAGTTTGTACACACAAAGAGAGTTTGACCTTATAAAGGAGGTTGTTTGTTGAGGAGGCGACAGATTTTATGTTCATAAGGATTACCCGTGATTTCAGGACGCAGCCTGTTTCGGAAACACCGCACTCTCTCTGGACTCCCTCACAACACACACACCGCGACTGCCACACACCACACCACTACACACACACACACACACTTACACACACATCAACACACGACACACACACAACAACACACTCACACCCTACACACACACACACACAACACACACACACACACAGAACACACACACACACATACACACACCACACCA